AGATGGAGAGAGAGACAGAGAGGGAGATGAGAGAGAGACAGAGGGACAGAGAGAGAGGGAGGAAGAGAGAGAGAGAGAGAGAGAGAGAGAGAGAGAGAGAGAGAGAGAGAGAGAGAGAGAGAGAGAGAGAGAGAGAGAGAGAGAGAGAGAGAGAGAGAGAGAGAGAGAGCTTTCAACTTAGCTTACATAAGTTAAATATATGATAGTTCCCAATGTGTTAGTTTCAAAGTACACTCTTATGAAATAAATGAGTTTCTAGGTGTAGGCTTCAGATGAGCTGAGGTAGGATAACAGCTCTTGCTTGCAGTTTCACTAGGTATGTTATTAGGCATCCCTTATGAATCCTAGTCTTAGTTAAAAAAAAAAAAAAAGAGAGAGAGAGTGTCGGAAAATCCGACACCATTTAATATATCATACAGATAATTGCTGCTGTATTACCAACAAGAAACCCATAGAAAACGTAACTTGTAGTGGAATTACCGTCTATAGAAAACGGGATATCATCACCACATACTATTATATTCTCCACCTATTATGGTGGGAATTATTCTTAAATACATTAGTCTTTGGACTTTACCATCATAAAAACATCTTATATAAATTAACTTAATTATCAATAGTAAAGTAGAGTAAATGTGACCCTTCTATCACTTTCTGAAATCTGGACAATGTAAGCCAGGCGTCAGTGGGGAAGGAGGACAGCCATTGTTGAGACTAGACCAGAGGCTCACACGGGAGCAAATTCGGCTCCTGTTAATTTTACTTGGACGAAGTGTTATGGAAGCCAAAGGTGTACCATTTTTCACACGCTGTCAACAAATTCAAGTTAAGTGTTCTTTCCGAAACCCATGTATCTTTCATTTATGGCCATTAATGTCATTATATAGGGTGACCCGGTTAGAGCACGTGGAAGCCTCAAACTAAAGGTAATTAAGCCAGATCTTTAAGGTTCCAGTACAGTGTTCCGCTGATATACTTGTCATATATAGGATTCTGGCTTTACAGCTAGCCCCCTTTTGACAGGTCAAGACCCAGGAAGCATATGCTTTGTACATCAGTTACCAGGGTGATGAAAGCTACCTCAAAGAGGGAAAATGTGGCGTCTACAACCTAGTTATAACCTGGTGGACTAAAGCCTGCTGTACTATAAATAAGGAACCTCTTTCAATGTTTAATAATGTGTAGTTAATACTGTAGTTTGATTGGCTGCATATATATTCATTAATAACCCCCCCCTAATGTGTAGAGGATCGATTTGTGAGATTATGAGATTATTGCAGAAATACAGTCCACTTATCATTATACAAGAGAGAGAGAGAGAGAGAGAAGGGGGAGAGAGAGAGGGAGAGAGAGAGGGAAGAGAGAGAGAGACAGAGAGAGAGAGACAGAGAGAGAGAGAGAGAGAGAGAGAGAGAGAGAGAGAGAGAGAGAGAGAGAGAGAGAGAGAGAGAGAGAGAGAGAGAGAGAGAGAGAGAGAGAGAGAGAGAGAGAGAGAGAGAGGAGAGAGAGAGACAGAGGAGAGAGATAGAGAGAGAGACAGAGACAAGAGAGAGAGAGAGAGAGAGAGAGAGAGGGACAGAGAGAGAGAGAGAGAGAGAGTCATTCATTAACAACATACTTAGCTGTGATAACCAAGGACATCAGAGAGAGGTTCCGGAGCCTCCCCACAGGAGTCACGATGCAACCACCACGACGTGAGCCCAAACGTTTCACTCACTTCATGGATGGCCAAGCTGAGATTTAGATCCAGATGCACGTCCATCTTGGCATCCTGTCCTCTTATACAAAGAACGTTGCTTTTCGATCGTATATGCAGCTGTCTAACTCCAGGGAACCTATTTATTGTTAGGTGAACAGGCACATCAGGGTGAAAGAAACTCTGCCCATTTGTTTCCGCCTCCACCGATGATCAAACCCGGAACCTTAGGACTACGAATACCGAGCGCTGTCCACTCAGCCGTCAAGGGCCCCCATTGTTGAATTTTGATTCCCTGAATTTGTTGTCAATAAAACCTTTAAAAAGTCAAAAGAAAAAACGCCAAACCAATAACTTTCAATATCAACAAAATCCAACAATCTGAAAATCACCGTTGTCTCTGGTGGGGTCTGTGTCTGTTGTCTGAGGTGGGGTCTGTGTGTCGGGAGAGGCGGCACTGGGGGGTTGAGGTGCAACCTGCGGACTGTTCCGGCAGTGAAGGGCTCGGGTGGCAGAGTCCTGGTCCAATGTACCAGAGACAACAACTCCTGGGGAGAAGCAGTTGAACTACACGTCTACGGTAGATGAGAAGTGGACCAATATCCCAGTGTGAGGACAGGCGACATTCGCTGAATCCTGTCTGACCAAGAGAGGAACTGTGAGGTAGGGAGCAACCTACCCGTCTGTGGAGGAGACCAACCTTGCCACATCTGAGGGAGGACCCAACAGAGAGGAGACCTACTTCAGCATCGTGCGGTCCAGGAAAGACCTAAACTTCAGCATCGTGGAGTCCACTTTAGCATTATGGGGTCCTGCAGTGAGCTAAACTTCAGCATCGGCCGCCCCCAGGCCAACCGGAATCCGGGGGCCAACCGGAATCCGGGGGCCAACCGGACTCCGGGGGCCAACCGGAATCCGGGGGCCAACCGGACTCCGGGGGCCAACCGGACTCCGGGGGCCAACCGGACTCCGGGGGCCAACCGGACTCCGGGGGCCAACCGGACTCCGGGGGCCAACCTCCGGGGGCCAACCGGACTCCGGGGGCCAACCGGAATCCGGGGGCCAACCGGAATCCGGGGGCCAACCGGAATCCGGGGGCCAACCGGACTCCGGGGGCCAACCGGACCGGGGGCCAACCTCCGGGGGCCAACCGGACTCCGGGGGCCAACCGGACTCCGGGGGCCAACCGGACTCCGGGGGCCAACCGGAATCCGGGGGCCAACCGGACTCCGGGGGCCAACCGGAATCTCCGGGGGCCAACCGGAATCCGGGGGCCAACCGGGCTCCGGGGGCCAACCGGGCTCCGGGGGCCAACCGGGCTCCGGGGGCCAACCGGGCTCCGGGGGCCAACCGGGCTCCGGGGGCCAACCGGGCTCCGGGGGCCAACCGGGCTCCGGGGGCCAACCGGAATCCGGGGGCCAACCGGACTCCGGGGGCCAACCGGAATCCGGGGCCAACCGGAATCCGGGGGCCAACCGGACTCCGGGGGCCAACCGGACTCCGGGGGCCAACCGGACTCCGGGGGCCAACCGGAATCCGGGGGCCAACCGGAATCCGGGGGCCAACCGGACTCCGGGGGCCAACCGGACTCCGGGGGCCAACCGGACGCCGGTGGCCAACTGGGCGTCCAGCCCTTCAGATGTAGGGTTTCACACCCGGCCCTTCAGGTGTAAGCGTGTCATAGGGCGGGCTGGTGATAGCAGATATATCCGATGTACTTATGTAATTTCACTTCTCCGCGGCACCAATTGCAGAGGTTATCATAGTTGACCTTTTTCCTATCGCGCACCTCAGATGGGGAGAGGCCTGGGGTAGGTTTTGGCCGCCCCCATGGCATTTTGGGCTCTTCCTTCTTCTTCTTCTTCTTCTTCTTCACTTTGGGTTCTTGTATCACAGTTGTCTCAGGTTGGGTCTGTGTGTCTGTTGTCTCAGGTGGGGTCTGTGTGTCTGTTGTTTCAAGTGGGGTCTGTGTGTCTGTTGTCTCAGGTGGGGTCTGTGTGTCTGTTGTCTCAGGTTGGGTCTGTGTGTCTGTTGTCTCAGGTGGGGTCTGTGTGTCTGTTGTCTCAGGTGGGGTCTGTGTGTCTGTTATCTCAGGTGGGGTCTGTGTGTCTATTGTCTCAGGTGGGGTCTGTGTGTCTGTTGTCTCAGGTGGGGTGTGGGTCTGTGTGTCTGTTGTCTCAGGTGGGGTCTGTGTGTCTGTTGTCTCAGGTGGGGTCTGTGTGTCTGTTGTCTCAGGTGGGTCTGTGTGTCTGTGTGTCTGTCTCAGGTCTGGGTCTGTGTGTCTGTGTGTCTGTTATCTCAGGTGGGGTCTGTGTGTCTGTTGTCTCAGGTGGGGTCTGTGTGTCTGTTGTCTCAGGTGGGGTCTGTGTGTCTGTTGTCTCAGGTGGGGTCTGTGTGTCTGTTGTCTTGTATGTCCCTTCTGTGTGTCTGTTGTCTCAGGTGGGGTCTGTGTGTCTGTTGTCTCAGGTAGGGTCTGTGTGTCTGTTGTCTCAGGTGGGATCTGTGTGTCTGTTGTCTCAGATGGGGTCTGTGTGTCTGTTGTCTCAGATGGGGCCTGGTGACCACAACCCCCCATGGCATTTTGGGCACTTCCCTCTTCATCTTCCTCTTCTTCTTGTATGTCCCTTGTCTCAGGTGGGGTCTGTGTGTCTGTTGTCTCAGGTGGGGTCTGTGTGTCTGTTGTCTCAGGTGGGGTCTGTGTGTCTGTTGTCTCAGGTGGGGTCTGTGTGTCTGTTGTCTCAGGTGGGGTCTGTGTGTCTGTTGTCTCAGGTGGGGTCTGTGTGTCTGTTGTCTCAGGTGGGGTCTGTGTGTCTGTTGTCTCAGGTGGGGTCTGTGTGTCTGTTGTCTCAGGTGGGGTCTGTGTGTCTGTTGTCTCAGGTGGGGTCTGTGTGTCTGTTGTCTCAGGTGGGGTCTGTGTGTCTGTTGTCTCAGGTTGGGTCTGTGTGTCTGTTGTCTCAGGTGGGGTCTGTGTGTCTGTTGTCTCAGGTGGGGTCTGTGTATCTGTTGTCTCAGGTGGGGTCTGTGTGTCTGTTGTCTCAGGTGGGGTCTGTGTGTCTGTTGTCTCAGGTGGGGTCTGTGTGTCTGTTGTCTCAGATGGGGCCTGTGTGACCACAACCCCCCATGGCATTTTGGGCACTTCCCTCTTCATCTTCCTCTTCTTCTTTATTTTGGGTTCTTGTATGTCCCTTGTCTCAGGTGGGGTCTGTGTGTCTGTTGTCTCAGGTGGGGTCTGTGTGTCTGTTGTCTCAGGTGGGGTCTGTGTGTCTGTTGTCTCAGGTGGGGTCTGTGTGTCTGTTGTCTCAGGTGGGGTCTGTGTGTCTGTTGTCTCAGGTGGGGTCTGTGTGTCTGTTATCTCAGGTGGGGTCTGTGTGTCTGTTGTCTCAGGTGGGGTCTGTGTGTCTGTTGTCTCATGTGGGGTCTGTGTGTCTGTTGTCTCAGGTTGGGTCTGTGTGTCAGTTGTCTCAGGTGGGGTCTGTGTGTCTGTTGTCTCAGGTGAGGTCTGTGTGTCTGTTGTCTCAGGTGGGGTCTGTGCGTCTGTTATCTCAGGTTGGGTCTGTGTGTCTGTTGTCTCAGGTGAGGTCTGTGTGTCTGTTGTCTCAGGTTGGGTCTGTGTGTCTGTTGTCTCAGGTGAGGTCTGTGTGTCTGTTATCTCAGGTGGGGTCTGTGTGTCTGTTGTCTCAGACGGGGCCTGTGTGACCACAACCCCCCATGGCATTTTGGGCACTTCCCTCTTCATCTTCCTTTTCTTCTTTATTTTGGGTTCTTGTATGTCCCTTGTCTCAGGTGGGGTCTGTGTGTCTGTTGTCTCAGGTGGGGTCTGTGTGTCTGTTGTCTCAGGTGGTGTCTGTGGCACTGTTGTCTCAGCTGGGGTCTGTGTCCTGGTGGAGGACAGCTCGTCTGGGCCCGACGATACACTCGTCCTGGTGGAGGACAGCTCGTCTGTACCCGACGATTCACTCGTCCTGGTAGAGGACAGCTCGTCTGTACCCGACGATACACTCGTCCTGGTAGAGGACAGCTCGTCTGTACCCGACGATTCACTCGTCCTGGTAGAGGACAGCTCGTCTGTACCCGACGATACACTCGTCCTGGTAGAGGACAGCTCGTCTGTACCCGACGATTCACTCGTCCTGGTAGAGGACAGCTCGTCTGTACCCGACGATTCACTCGTCCTGGTAGAGGACAGCTCGTCTGTACCCGACGATACACTCGTCCTGGTAGAGGACAGCTCGTCTGGACCCGACGATACACTCGTCCTGGTGGAGGACAGCTCGTCTGGGGCCAACGATACACTGGTCCCGGTAGAGGACAGCTCGTCTGGGGCCAACGATACACTCGTCCCGGTAGAGGACAGCTCGTCTGGGCCCAACGATACACTCGTCCCGGTAGAGGACAGCTCGTCTGTACCCGACGATACACTCGTCCTGGTGGAGGACAGCTCGTCTGGGCCCAACGACACACTCGTCCCGGTAGAGGACAGCTCGTCTGGGTCCAACGATACACTCGTCCCGGTAGAGGACAGCTCGTCTGGGCCCAACGATACAATCGTCCCCGTAGAGGACAGCACGTCTGGGCTCGACGATACCCTCATCAGGGCGGAGGACACCTCACGATAGCGCGAGTACGCCCGCTGTCCGTAGGAGATGAGTATATTGAAGGCCTTGAGGAAGACCACGCAGACAGTAACCACGAGGAGGAGCGTGATCACGCCCACGCCCAAGGACCACCAGGTCAAGGAGCTGCTGGGGCGTCGGGACGCCAGCAGCCTGACCACGGGGACGCGGCTCAGCCACCCCCGCCAGCTCAGTTCCATCATCCAAGCTCTTACTATTGAACTTATCATTTGTTCGTAATTTATATATATATTTTTTTTAAGATTATGAAGTTTGTATTCTTTTCCTTCAGCAATGAATGAAAAGGAGATTTGACGGTTTGTGTCTGTGTCACTGGTGACTGAGGTGGTGGACTGTGTCACTGGTGACTGAGGTGGTAGACTGTGTCACTGGTGACTGAGGTGGTGGACTGTGTCACTGGTGACTGAGGTGGTGGACTGTGTCACTGGTGACTGAGGTGGTGGACTGTGTCACTGGTGACTGAGGTGGTGGACTGTGTCACTGGTGACTGAGGTGGTGGACTGTGACACTGGTGACTGAGGTGGTGGACTGTGTCACTGGTGACTGAGGTGGTGGACTGTGTCACTGGTGACTGAGGTGGTGGACTGTGTCACTGGTGACTGAGGTGGTAGACTGTGTCACTGGTGACTGAGGTGGTGGACTGTGACACTGGTGACTGAGGTGGTGGACTGTGTCACTGGTGACTGAGGTGGTGGACTGTGTCACTGGTGACTGAGGTGGTAGACTGTGTCACTGGTGACTGAGGTGGTGGACTGTGTCACTGGTGACTGAGGTGGTGGACTGTGTCACTGGTGACTGAGGTGGTGGACTGTGTCACTGGTGACTGAGGTGGTGGACTGTGTCACTGGTGACTGAGGTGGTGGACTGTGTCACTGGTGACTGAGGTGGTAGACTGTGTCACTGGTGACTGAGGTGGTGGACTGTGTCACTGGTGACTGAGGTGGTGGACTGTGTCACTGGTGACTGAGGTGGTGGACTGTGGAAAAGTTCTTTTCCACAGCTCATAAAACGGAGGAAAGGGTCCTGAAAGATATTGTTAATAGAAACGTTATCCCTACAGACAAAAATCAGAGGATACAACTGACGATTTACTATAAAACCAGAAAAACGGCCAGCCTACTCATGAGAAACTCTCCAGACACAAAACAGAACGCTTTAAAAGAGACTAACGTCGTCTATGCCTTCAAATGCCCTCTTGGGGACTGTAAGCTCCAAAAAAAACCAGTATATAGGCAAGACAACAACATCTCTTTCTAGGCGTTTAACGATGCATAAGCAACAGGGCTCCATTAAGGAACATATAATCTCTTCCCACAACCAAACCATCGCCAGAGAAATCCTAGTAAACAACACAGAAATCATCGATAGATACAGCGATAGCAGGCGGCTTGACGTTTGCGAGGCATTACACATCAAGAAGTCAACACCAGCAATCAACAGCCAATTATTGCACAACTATATTCTACCCACCTCAAGACTCCGCCCCAATATAGAAGCATCAAGAAATATGGACCAATAGGCTTTCTACAAACACTTCTATTCAATACCCATTGTTTTGTGTTCTGTCTTGTGTTGATGAAATTAATACCCTATTAATGCCACCTCTTGTTCTGTCTTGTGTTGATGAAATTAATACCCTATTAATGCCACCTCTTGTTCTGTCTTGTGTTAATGCCACATCACCCGTTCCACCTCACTCAAATGTAGATATAAAATCAGAGATGCGTAAGTTCTATTCAGTTGTGTATTTGTGAACTAAAGTCTTTGAAAATGTAATCAGTTTTACGAAACGCGCTCGTGTCGCGTCAGACTAGAAATAAAAATGAATTTTGGAGAATTGATTTTTGATTTACCTCCAACAGTGAAAAGAAATGTACGAAAGATTGAGAAAATTCGTGTTAGAATTATTAATCTTACTTTTTCGGTCATATTTAATAATATATGTCTACAGGAAAGACTGCTACCAAAATATACTAATATATATATATATATATATGTGTGTGTGTGTGTATGGTGTATATGTATGTGTGTGTGTGTGTGTGTGTGTGTGTGTGTGTTAGTGTAAAAGGAGACACATGGGGAATAAAATTTTTCAGAAACGGTTGGGCACTTCCATGCCGACTCGGGTCCCGGGGGCGGATTCGACCAACAACTGATTTTAAGCGGTTAGGTTAGGGCACGGTCGGCGTGCACCTGGCTGGCTGGTGGGGTGGGGTGGTGGTCCGTTCCCCCCAGGGGTCCCCGGGGCCCACCACCCAGGGTGTACCTGAGCAACTCGTGCCCTATCCTAACCTGTTTTTTTTCGATACGTCGCGTGCTTTTAAGATGAGTCTAAGGCATCAAGAAGGGGGTCCCTACTTATGAAAGGTACAGAGGATGAATGTTCAATAGATTCAAACCCAAAAAATACACTGGTGAAAGGCATATAAACGTTTTTGGAGTATTTAATAGCATGAGCAAAATTCACGATTTGGCCCGGGGTGTAACCAGAGTACTACGGTATCAATTTGGGGGTCCCTACTTATGAATGGATCAGAGGGTGAATGTTCAATAGATTAAAACCAAAAAACACAGTTGAAAGCGAATATAGAAGTTTTTGGAGTACTTTAATGATGCTATGACTGAATAGTATAGGGAGCCCTTGGCACAGCTCCATTTTCTGTAATGGTCAGAGGTGAGCGGAGAGAACGGGGCGCGATTTTTTGACCAATCAGGAGCCGAGTAGAAAAATTCTCTTTCCGTCCCGGGTCATGGGCCAATCAGGTGAAATTTTCCTTATTTGTCGCGGGGGTGTCACGTGACATGACGTCGGCAATAGGGACCCCCTACCTATGATTACCCCAGTGGGGTCAAGCATACAAGGGGGGGTCAAGATTCCTTACAAAGACCAAGTTGGATATTTAGGTGTAGTAAGCCTTATCTTGAATTTGCATGATACTGTGGGGTACATTGACATGAAGGGCGAATCATAGAACAGGATCTGCATGTGAGATGGGTCATATTAGGGTTTTAAAGAAGTTAAGATAGCTTTAAAGAGTCCTGTGTGCTTGATGGTGGGTAAATGTTCAGTCAATAATTCTCGTGTTTTTAATCTGAATGAGGGGTCCTAGTTTGCGTTCTAGTCGTAAAATGAGTTCCTTAGTATATTTGCTATGGAAAATGAGCTTTCAGTACTCTATATAATTTGAAATGAGGTCAAGAAAGACATGTTTATGTGCGAGAAGAGTCAGGTTGGAAACTGTTTATTCCAGTCATCCCCCCTCGGCTTTGCTCCGTTTTCTGTAGCCAAAGTAAAGATTCCATTTTCTGTGAAATTCAGTTAAGTACTGGTGATAAAGGCATGCTTGCATTTGTATGGTTCTAACCTGTTTATAGATTATAGATAAATTTGTCGGGCCTCAAATTAGATTTTAATACGAAAAATAGCATCAAATGCATGTCTATCTTTTGTAATAAACGTTACAAACATTAACATTATCTGTGATATTTAATAGAATACAAAAAGAATGCTAAATAGTGGGGCCTCAGCCATATTGTGTTGGGTATGACGCCCCATTGTACATTATTAACACTTGTAACTATGAAGGAAAATAATTTAGTGTTTTAAGTAATTTAATATAAACTAGGAATCTGTTCATATTCTGTATTAAATTGCATTTTTTTTAACACCTTAATAGCTCACAGCTATTGTGGTGGGGGGCCCCAATAACTCATGTAATGCGACTACTGTTGCTATGCAATACTTTTTGATATCATGTGTAAAAATTTAAAAGTCGAATCCATCAGTTGCCTTTTTTGTCAGTGGTGGTATATCAAGCGCAAAGGTTTTCAGAAAATGTTAGACCTCCTCCACCTTTTGAAAAGTGTGAAGAGGCAGCTAGCATGAGTTTCATAGCTAGTAAGAAGGGCTAGCATGAGTTAGTAAGCAGGGCTAGCATGAGTTAGTAAGCAGGGCTAGCATGAGTTAGTAAGCAGGGCTAGCATGAGTTAGTAAGCAGGGCTAGCATGAGTTAGTAAGCAGGGCTAGCATGAGTTAGTAAGCAGGGCTAGCATGAGTTAGTAAGCAGGGCTAGCATGAGTTAGTAAGCAGGGCTAGCATGAGTTAGTAAGCAGGGCTAGCATGAGTTAGTAAGCAGGGCTAGCATGAGTTAGTAAGCAGCATGAGTTAGTAAGCAGGGCTAGCATGAGTTAGTAAGCAGGGCTAGCATGAGTTAGTAAGCAGGGCTAGCATGAGTTAGTAAGCAGGGCTAGCATGAGTTAGTAAGCAGGGCTAGCATGAGTTAGTAAGCAGGGCTAGCATGAGTTAGTAAGCAGGGCTAGCATGAGTTAGTAAGCAGGGCTAGCATGAGTTAGTAAGCAGGGCTAGCATGAGTTAGTAAGCCGGGCTAGCATGAGTTAGTAAGCAGGGCTAGCATGAGTTAGTAAGCAGGGCTAGCATGAGTTAGTAAGCAGCTTTAGCATCTAATAGTCCCATCAGGGCTAGCATGAAAAAATCAAGCAGGGCTAATCTCTGGGTTAGTAAAAAGGGCTAGCATGAGTCCAAGTAAGCCCCCAAAGTCTTCCAGAAGCCCAAGCAGGGCTTACTAGACTTTCGCCAACTGTATTTATTTAAAATAATACGTCAGATAGAAATTGTTTCGCATTGGTATTATATTTACTTTATAAATTTCCTCTATAAAAATGAAATGCCATTGCGCATTATGATCGTTTTATATTGAATATTGCATAAATACTTATGAGATTTCATAAAAAAATATTTTAATGAGCCAGGTTTGGAAGGCTTTGGTTTTAAAATTATCACTTACATTTTTTTTAATAATAATAAAATTATTAACATTGACAAAGATTTACTCCTGAAAAATATTGTCTTTTAAGACTTTTATGTGCTATAAAGTTGTTGAGATTTTCAATACTTAGAGTACCAATCGTTAAAGTTTTCTTTTTCCATCACAAAGAAAATCTTTCTTTCTCCCACATGTTTC